TCTGGAGAAGGAGTGACCCAGGAATCTGAGATGCCATTTTGTTTTTGTTGTTTTGTTTTTAAATTAAAATAAAATATTTATATAAATAATTTTAAGAAATTAAACATGTTAAAATAAAAATTTTGGTTTTATAGCTTCATCCTGAACAATAGTTTCTCTGTGTAGAGCACAGGATAACGATGTATAAATTTCAGTATTTAACTAAAATGATCTTATCCAAAGCAAAAGCTCTCTGCATTGTCATAGTTCTATGTTTGTGAAGTGGTGCTTAAGCTTATCCCTTAGATAAGTCTTAGTGAATATTTTGCAAGTCTAAGGAATTACTAACAATTCATACAGGCACTCTTGCAAGGATACCTATCAGAAAACCAAAATAAGTCCTAGTACTCTGGTATTTATGATGAAAGTCCATTGTACTGAGACCCCTTTAAATGTTGCTGTTGAGTCTTTATGTGGTGGCTCAAAAGCAGGAATAACTTCGTTGTGTTGGTTATGGAAAACTGGCTGACTACAAATTTTTATTGGGACAAGTCACTTTTTGGGAATACATCATGTGAAGAGTGTTTTCTTTGTAAACAGTGCAGGGAGTAGCAGAATGAAGGGATTTGAATAGTGATTGTTCTTCCACTTTTCTCAGCAGCAGCCTTCAGTTACGGAGCTGTGAATTGAACTTTTTTTTGTGATATGCATAAATATTTACCAGGGCGAGCTGGAAAAGCTCTGCTGGGACCCAGAGCCTGTCCTCCTGCCAGGAGAGAGAGGGCTGTTCTCCACACCATATGTTCTGACATGTTGTCAACTGTTTGTGTACATTATGCAGCAGTTGCTAAACAGTTGGTACTGTTTTCCTTTAAGAATGTGCCACTAGGTTCAGGACTGCACTGCATACCCTATAAAAAATAGAAGAAAAAAAAAAAATTCCCCCACCCCCTCCCAAATGTAAATTCAGCTCGTTCAGCAGCAGCCTGGAGCCCGACATTGTCTGCTGTCGGAAGTGTGAGCTAAAGGGGACAGACATTCCCCCTGCTCAGCGGGAGCAGAGCTACGTTCTGCCCTTGTTGCATTATTAATGGCACAATGTTTTTATGTTGCAGATGGCTAAGAGCTAGCAAGGCATATTCGGGACCATGATGGCTCAGTTTCCCACAGCTATGAATGGTGAGTAGCTCCACTCGGTTTGTTTTGTTAGGGGTGGGGGCATTTTTCTGTATTCTTAATTTTTTTTTAAATGATGGGTTTAGCACCTGCACCAGCATTATGGTCAGTTTGCTGCAGACTCTTTCCTGTAGCCTAACTTGTACTAGAAGACTGGGAGAAATTCAGTGGAATTACTGCAGTGTAATTTGGAGTACAGCTACGCCTGGAGCATCTCATAATCTCAGATCACTTAAAGGGTTGAGGAATGTATGACTTGTAGTGTGAATACTGTCTGACTTCAGGTTAGGAATATGCTAAATAATAGTTGATTAAACTTGCATACCTTTTGTCTTATGTAATTCACAACAAAATCAGTTTCATTATAGTATATTATGCTATTTAATTTAAACCAAAACATTTGAATGTTAAGCAGTTTGCTACATTGATGAAAGTAATCAGTCTGTCTCAAGAAAAAAATATCAGTTTTTCTCCAAAAAAAAAAATGTTAATAATGTTCTCCTTGACTATGTGCCCCATCTACTATGGAAACTTTTGGATTTGTTTCTCATCATTTCGTTTCCAAAACAGCTGAGAGTTGAAACTTTAAGATTGTTCATGAGTGTATTTATGTTTTGGAGCTTTTTATTTCTAAGCAAGCTTTGTTTCTGTAGATACAATTTGCAAATGCCTGCGAGAAATTTGATGTTAACATGTTGTTGTTGTTTGTTGAACTGGCCAAAATAAAAAGATGAGTATAGGAACAATGCTTTGCACTTCAGATATTCCAGATAGGGAGTTTTTCTCCCCATAAAAACAGGGAAATAGATATAAGGAAAAGTGTTTCTTATTTATCTGTAAAGGTTACTGCAGGACTGGGAGGTCTTTAACTAATTTAGACAGTTGTCAGTGCTGGGATAAATTGGGTGAATGAGGGGAAGTGGGTTTCTGCAGAAGAACACCCAGATTTAAAATTAAACCTCTGTTTTATACATCTGCTTCACGTGTGTGTAGGACATTTTGTGACAGAAATAAATGGTGTGATCAACGCCTTTTTTTTTAAATACAGTCAGCTGCAGTTTATTCCAGACCTTGTTTCACAGACCTAACAATAAAAGAGGAGTAAAATGAGTCAATATATTGTATATAATAGGGAAAAACCTAAATACCACATTTTTTTTTTTCTGCTTTCTTGGACATGATGAAAAAACTTTTTTAATTGCCACATACTTTTTGATTCTCAATTTAAAATAAACAGAAGCTCTCTTCAGGGAGAAGACAGAGTTATGTTCTTGGCTGTTTCCATGGCTGATCTATGCATAAAGTATTCAATGTCTTTCTGGTTTGGTTTTATACTCCTTGGTTCTGTTGAAGGCTTGCAGGTGTGTTGGTGGCACTGAGGACATACGTGACTTGATCTCAGAGGTCTTATTTTGGGAGAGTGATCCTTTCCTTCATCTGAAGTCCCTTGGCCAGTACTGTCTGCCACTCTCAAAGGAACAGTGCCACAAATACAGCCTTTCCCCTCACAGGATTATACTGGGTTGAAAAACATAGTAAGGGAGTGTGAGAGGGTTACCAGGCAATAATTAAACTGTTGCTTCTCACTGAATATTTGAATGACTCTGTGTAGTTTTGCAGTTATATTTCATATCAGAATTTATTAAATTTCAAACAAGTCAGGTGGAAAAAAGGGCATTTTTTTAAAAGTGGTTTTATATTGAGGAACCTTTGCAGTTGAAATTGTTCTTCTTTAATCAGTGTTCCTCTTCCCTGCTACTTCCTATTGCTGTTGTTCACATTCAAAGTAGATCACCTGCATTTGCCACTTGTTGCTCAGTGGAAACCTCTCATTATGTTGTTCCACCTTGCTGGTGACTTGAGGCATGAGATGAAGAATGGGGTTGTGCATGAGGCAACTAACCACCAGGCATGGCTGCTGCCTGCCACACCTCTGTAGTGACAGAGCATTGACCCTTTTGTGTCCTACTCAGAGAAAACTGTGATTTTCTTCTGGGGAGAAAGCTCTTAGTCGTATCAAGGTACAATACACTTTGCTTTCAGTTCTTTAGTGGTGCAAGGCATGAAGTAGTGTCTGTTTCAGGATTATTTTTGGCATCCAGTGTGAGAGGAAAGCGGGTGGATGGCGTAGAGCGGATGTGTGTACGACTGTGATGATGTGACACAGGGTGACAGCAGCTTTGGGAACTGCAGGGTTCAAGTGACAAAGCACAATACTTACATAGTCTTGAACAAATACAAGTGGAAGATGCTACAATGCTTTATTTACCAACTCAAGCAGAGAAGGGGAAGTCTACACAGGACCTCAAGAAGGAAGGGGAACTGAGTGGTGTGTCGTACTGAGAGCTGGCATGCTCTTCTTTAATTACGTGGCCATAGGTAAACTTGCTTGTTGAGGCATTGTGTGCTCTAAGGGCACATGCTCTTGCTAGACTCACCTTTCTTCTCCAAAGGCAGTGAACAAACAGAACGGAGTTCCCTGTGACTCTCCTTTCCTCTCCAAGGTCACCTTTGTGAGCGCCATACTAACAGAATGGAAATTCAAAGAGGAAGAGCAGGGCTTGAAGAATGCACGTTGATTTTTTTCTGGAATGCAGGGCAGACCTGGCAGTCATTAACAAATTTAGTGCCTGTGCAAAATGTAAAGGTTGTGAGGACATTTTATATGAACAGGCAAGGTTGAGCAACGTGTTTCTTCTTCTTCTGTAGGAAGGCTGCCAGTTACAAAATGTACACACAGCACCAGATGGATACCAGACCTTGGTCTCTGTGGAGTCCAATTCTATCAAAGAGCTACTCCAGGCATATTCATCTCCCCAGTGCACAAACGAGATCAAGAATCCCATACTGAGGATTTAGTTTTATCCTCTAATTATCTCTCTGAACATGATAAAACAAACCCAGTTACTGGTAGTTTGTTCTCCTTACATACAGTTCTCCGTTGGGATAAAGCTTTCTGAGGAATTCATTCCAAGTTTAGCAAAAGCTTTTGGAAAGGGAATTTAGGTACACTAAATAACAATTACCTTAGACATTGTACTTTTAAAGAAGGAGTTAATACACTAACCACAAACAACAATTAAAAAAATAAAGCCTTTAATAGGTTAAAATGTACTCCTGCTTAATTTGTCTCTGTGATTGCTGTCTTTATCACAGAGCAGGAGGAAGAAGCCTTCACTGCCACAGGATGCCTTCTTTACAGCTGAAGAGCAGTTGCAAGATGTTGCCATTCTCCTAACTGCCCTTCTGTAGGCTAGATTTTATTCAAGGTTTAATATCCATGCTGATGCTGGATCTTGATTTGGGGAGATGTAATCTTGACGGCCCAGCCGGAACAAGGAAATCAGTATTTGCTGATCAGTATCTTACACATTGTTTCCTTAAGTACTATTGGAATTTTTGGTCTGTTATTTTTTTAAAAATGTTTTTATTTGTCCTTCCTCTTCCCTCATACAGCCTGTTTCCTTTTGATATAATTTTTTTGTGGTCCAGCAGGAAAATACCTCTGATAAAATGAGATGCAAAAAGCAATACTCGTAACTCATTTCACAAGCTTATCAACCTTCATAAGGCAAACTGCAATTTAGGCTGCTGTGAATAGAATTGAGTTTTGTGGCCCTGCAGTTAGGTGTGTTGGAGACCAGGGTAGACATAAATGGATTGAGTGAGTTCCTCATTCCACTGATGTCAAGGGTAAAACACTTGCTGATGCAAAGTTATGCTGCATCTTCTCTATTACAAAATGTGCCTCAAGATCCGTGGTCTGATTTTTTTTGGATTCAGAGGAATCCTGCTCATGACAGGTCAATTAAAAACTACTTGAATGCAACCTGACTCCTAAACTTGTGTGCATGGTAGATCTGGAAACTGTAGACTTGGATATCAACAAGTGTAGATAAAGATCCTAAGCTGAATTATGAATTAGACCTTGTGAAGACAGTATTGGAACTTATTCTCCCATCTAAAAGGAAAGGAAAGAAATTCTACGACAAGGTCACATTTTTTCTGTGTCCTTACCTGTAAGTTAATCCTTTCACTTTTCAGTGAGGACAGTGATGTCAGTTGATGTGGAGCAAAATTAATATGTTTAAGTCAGAGAGGTGTATATTTTCCAGTATCACATCCTGCAAAAACTTAGCTCTCCATTTGTGTGTGCCATATTGTATGTTTTCTTTAATCCTAACAAGTCAGAAATAGTGCTGTAGGACTGTGGAATACCCAATGTCTTATTCATATGTAATTATGAGGATAATATGATTCACACAAAAGATACAAGGGGAGATCATTGGAGGAAGAAATAGTCATGGAGGTAATTGTTAGATGGAGTAAGTGTAACTAGATTTTAACAAAGGAAGGCTGCACCTTTTGCCTTCTTCAGTAACTGAATTTTGTAGACGGTGTAAGAGAACGCATGTTTGGACTGGATTAGAGAAGTAACTGTCTAAAAGGGAGAGCAAATGCAAATTTTAAACTGGGATTTTGTAACAGTAATATTCTTAATGGATCTTGATTATTTATGGCAACGTCATCAGTGAAAAGCAAAGTGTATGCTGGTTAAATTGGTTGATGGCACAAACTTAGGAATCATTTTCCAGCCGGAATTATAGAGTATGAACTTGATCTCATTGGTTAGATTTCATCACACTTCTGTTGTGCTGTCTTCACATAGTTTTTTTTTAATCATAGCATTATGGGCTGGAGGAATTTTTGCTGGATGTTGGGAAGCCAGCAGTTGAGTGTGAGTAAAGGGGAAGGCAGCCGGATATGTGAGATGGTGGTGTCATAATTACGTGATTCCAGGGAAAGGAAATGCATCCTAAAATGGGCTGGATGAAATAGGGAGTGCTGTGTGCTGTTGCATAAGGCTGGTGAGACATCTTGTGGGGTGTAGGATAGAATTTGAGTTGTCTGCTTAGGAGGGGGAAAGAAAAATCCAGGAAGTGTAGTAGACAGAGTTAGGCTTCAGTGTTATCCAGGAGAAACTAATTGTGAAAGGCTAATGA